GGGGAAGGAAAACTGAGCCCTTCTTATGCCAAGCACTCCCCTGGACTGGGGAGAGTGTGGGACATCAGGTAATGAGGCAGGACCAGGTTTCAAAGCCTGTCCCTACCCCAGCTTATCCCTGGATTGCTCAAAATAAATTTCAGAGGTCTTTTTCTCTCAAAAGTGTGCAAGAGATGCTCTGTGGGTACTAAGTGTCTCAGCCCTTCACAAGTCTTGTGCCTGTCCTTCAACAGTGGTGTAGGCTCAGCCAAGCCTGTATCCTGTCAGGTGGGTGATGCCTCAGCACCTCAGGTTTCACACTCTCAAAAGTACTCATGGGCTTCCCTTCCAGTGGAATACAAAGGGGAGCAATGACAAAACATCCATCGAAGTCAGGCCCAGCACACACAGTTACACAGCAGCACAAAGTCACAGACCTGGCAGCTGTCAGGAGCCAGTGATGCAGTGGTTGGGATCCAGAGAAGAGGAGATATGTTTGACTTGCGCAATATATGACACAACATCCAGATTTCTCTAGTTTTATTTCAATGTTATATGCATTTTCTTTTCTCTGTGCACCCTTTTAGGGTCACCCAGGCTTCCCTCAGTTTCAGCAGAGAGGGGAATGTCTGGTTGTTGAAACAATCCTGGTTATCCTGTGCCAGTCGTGAACATGGTGTGACTCACCATGCTGAGGTGCTTCCCATGACCTCACAGTGTGCATGTAGAGGCAGAGGATGGGACAGAAAATGAGAAAAAAGGGCTCAATATTTCCATCCACTTCATTATGGATCTGATTTTCTCTCACAGCCGAACGAAGCATCGATTTGTAGAATAACCACTGGGCTGTGCTGAGAGTGCACTAGATGTTTTTGAGGTACCTTCCAGTGGAAGCTGTGTGGTACCTCAGCAGGTCAGCTCTGCAGGGGACCGTGGCATGAGCCTCTCTGCATGAAAAGTGCCAGAGGAGGGCCAGCACAGCCCGGGGACAGGAGGGAAGTCCCTGTCCCAAAAGCCTCTAGGTTTTCTCCGTATCCAGTCCCCAGGGCGGAATGTCCCCCGGGAGCTGCTGCCGGAGCACTTTGGGAGCCCCAGCGCACCCCGGCCCCGAGCCAGAGGCTCAAGTGCCACCTAGTGGCACCGGGGCCCGCGGGCCGGCGGGCGTCCCCAGCCCCGGCAGCGGGCCCGGCCGGCCCGGCCCTGCGCCGCTCCCCAGCGCCTCTCCCCTTCTCCACAGACCCCCCCGCCATCCCCCCACAGCCCCTTTCCCCGCCTTTGTGTCGCCTCCTCCCCCGATCTCCGCCTCCCTCCTGTCCCACTGTCTCACGTCCGCTTCCCCGCACACCTCCCTTCCCTCACGCCGGATCTGGCTGTCCCATCGAGCAGCGGGCTCCAAGGGCAGGCACTGCAGAGCCACCGAAGGACTCCTCTGCTCCCAGGCTCACACAGCAGGGAAATGGCTTTGGCATGGGGCTGTCTGCCCTGTTCTCTCTCCTGAGTGTCTCTGTTGTCACCCCCATGCCCTGTCCCCACTGTGACATCCCCGAGGTGACTCTAGCTGCCTCCCCAGCACTGGAGCTGCACAGGAGCTGCAGCAGAGGTGCTCTAGGCCCCCCAGCAGCTCCCCAAGGGTGGCTTGGGTGGGATCTTGTCAGTGGCAGGAGCCACGAGGGGGCTCCAGGAACCCATCAGAGATGGGGGAGAAATGCCAGGAACAGAGGCTGGTTCTGCTGCAGGACTGAGGAAAGATGTTAAAAGCAGAGCTCTCGTTTCCTGGAGGATGAGGTCTTCTCCAGCATCCCAGGTGGAGGAGAGCAGAGGAGATGCCACAGCTCAGACCAGGAGCAGGATCTGCCAGCACTTTTGTCCCTGTCACATACATCGTGACAAGGAGCAGTGCACATGTTGCAGTGTGCCCAGCACTGAGACAGGCTGTGGTGAGGGCTGTGCTGGCCTGACCCAGAGAGCAGCAGGGTCAAAAACATTTGCAAGAGATTGGTTTTCAGTGTATGACCATTTATACCAGTCATAGATTCATCCCACAGTCATATTCCTGTGGGTCCATACTTCTCCTTCACACCTGTTTTAGCCCTGTCTAACTCCACTCAATGCTAGGGTATTATTGCAAGGAGGTAAATTTGTCCCCAGCATTAAAGAAATGCTTTGGACAGCACTGCTGAGCTCAGTCCTTGATGAGTGTCATGGACATGCAGAAGTAATTCCATAAATGATCTTTCAAGTATGGGAGACATCAGTGAGAAAGCAGGTCTGAGTCTGCTGACCTGTCACAGTCTAATTCCACTGTTCCACCAGCACCTGGGGAAGACAACACTCCTTCCTAAAAACTCAGCATGCCCAATCCAGTCACTGCATGGTGAGACCTCAGGTAATATTTTTACAAGTGCCCCAGTGAGGTGGGACATGGCTCCACAGCCCTGGCATCACTGGCAGCTGTGAGCCAGCTGGATGTTTCAGATAAAGAGCAGGTAACAGAGCACATGAGAACCTTGCCTGGAGCACCAGATCCTCTTTTGGTGAGCTTTTTTGCTTTTACTCTTCATGGACACTTCACACAGCCATGTCAATGGCCAGGCCTGGCTATGATGAGTTCTCCTCTCTATCAGATGGGAATAACACTGGGGAAGGCATTGTAGCCAGAACAGCTTCTGCATCACCTTCCCTTTGCAGGTCCTCATCTGCCTCCCCATCAGCAGGCACTGCAGCACAGGTTTTATGTTGCTACAGAGAGTAATCAGGGCTGTAACCCAGGGAGGCAGTGCAATTAGCCAGGCCAGCTCCTTAGCCTCCAATAGGACTCATTTGGAGATCAGAGTCTCTTCCTAGAGGATTCAGCAATGTTGCTGTTGGGGTTAGAGTTTGGAGCTGGAGGCAGAGGGGATGTAGGAGGCTGCAGGTAATTTTAAGCATTTGGATACAGCAGAATTGAAGTTGTGGCCATGCAGCCACTGCCCCTCAACTTTCTTTAGGAGCCCACAGTATCTGAGGTAAGATTTGGCTAGGAAAACTGAGTCCTGAGCTGGTCAGCCCGAGCTTTTAGGGGGATGTGATTCTGCACACCAAGTGGGTTGGGGCATGGGGACAAGCACTGGATCAAGGAAAACCCTAGGATTCAGCAGCCTAGCAGGGAAATCAGCTCAGATGGCTGCTGATGGGATCTTCAGTGTGCTGCCTCTTGGGCATCCTCTCCTGCCTTCCAGAGCCTACACGGTCAGCATGGATGCTCTAAACCCATGCTGCATCCACCAACATGGTCCAAAAACCTGCAGAGCTTCTGTTGCCACTTTACACTTCCCAGTCCAGCCTTGAAGTGTAAACACTGACTTTGACCCAAGGTGATCTGTCTTGAAAGGAGTATTGGCAGGCAAAGAAAATCTCACTTCAGAATTAATATTGTCCCTGAATTAGAGAAGCCATTCTGAAAAGCTATAGAAGACTGCCGTGATGGAAAAATTAATGCATAAAGGACCCACCCTGCAGAAGAGGCAGGGGAAAAAATAGATCACAGTGTATTCAGGGCTCAGACAGGACCACACTTGCCTGCAAAAATAAATCCTTGCATTTGACACATTGCTTACATATTAATTAGTTTGATCAGATTGCCTGGGTGTGTTAGCAAGAGTGAGAGCTCATGTCTGTTTAGTGATAAGCTGTTAAACCTCCCCAAATAGAGCTAGAAATTATGGCAGACTGAGATCTTCCCTTTACTCATGGCCTTTCTTCTGGTTTTCTAGTGCTTTTCCACCCATATTTTCTATTTTATTTCACTGTGTCTCTTAAGTACCATTTCTTTCTCAGTGCAGAACCAGAGACTCACAGGAATGAGAGAAGCAGCTTCTGCACTGAGAAACCAAGGAACCACAACCCCCCACCAAAATACAAAGACAAGAATTGGAAAAGAAAATTTTACTTTTTTCACTCTATCCCCTTCCCTTCCAGCTCCTCTAGGATTGCTGGAGGGACAAAGCCTGTGCAGAGCTGGAGGTACCATCCCCCCTTTAACACAGCCTGACATCAGCGAGCTCTGGAGCCCGGCAGGGCTGGGAGCTGCTGCTCCCGGACTGGTGCCAACACATCCCTGTTTCCCTGCCTCTTCCCGGCTCTTGTTTTTGTGTGCCTTTCAACATGCTGCATGTGTGTCCTTGCCTGCCAGTGGATATCTGCGGGGTTTACATTAACCAGCTCAAGCTGAAGTTGGTAAACAGCTATCAAAGTTTTGCTCCTCATGTATCCAAGGATATTTCTGAATGAGGGAGACACTTGCATCCTTTGACGTCCTACGTGCTATTCCCTTATTTGCAGCCGAGATAGATCTTCTTCCCACTTAGCTATGCAGACAGGGGAGTTTGGGTTGGTTTGTGCCTGGCACAGGGAGGGGAGATCAATCTCCCGCGGCTCAGCGGGGAGTGGTCATGTTTTTACCTGTTTCCTGAACAAGAGGGAATCAGGCTCAAAACACTGAAGCTTCAGTGTTTAAAGTTTTCACTCCTGAGCAGAGTCCACTTCTAAAGCTGCTCTTTTGCCCTGGGACAAAATAGTGAATCTGGCAATTCCTCCATTCTACAGGAGGATGCAAATTAGGGCTTCATTTTATTCATACTGTCACAGGTCCAAAGTTTCTTGGAAGCCAGAATCCCATCCCAAACGCTACTCGGCACTAAGCAGAGATGCTGAAAGCAATTCCCGAGCGCCTATCCCAGCGGCAGCACCACCACTAAAGCTATTTATCCCCGCACAGGATTTTTTTTTTTTTTTTTTTTTTTTTCCCCCATTTTTGCCTTTTTTTTTTTTTGGAGCCTCAGACTCTATTGAGAGGCAAATTTTAGCCATCTGGCAAAGCAGGCTGTGAGCGGGGAGAAAAAAAGAGGGAGAGAAAACACAATGTGCATGGGCACGCACACATACACAAAACTCTGGAGATCAGGGAAGACAAAAAAACTCCGCTGAATGCTGGAGCGCAGGGCAGCCCCGCCGCGGAGAGGAGGGAGAGGCGGGCGGGGAGGAGGGCTCGGGTGCGGGCAGGTCTGCCTGCCTGCCTGCCTGGATGTGGGGAACGGCTGCAGGCACGGGAAGGCGTGACCTGCATGGAAAATGCCAGACAGCCCCAGACGCACACACACATAGGCGCACACAAATCTCCGGACAGAGATAAGGCGGACAGCGGAGCGCTGGGAAAGAGGCGAAGCCGTCCCCCGCAAGCGAGCCATCGCTCCTCCGCACCCAACCCGCCGGGGAGCTCTCCCAGCGGCACAATGAGGTGAGTTCTCCGCACGGGCTCAGCCCGGCTCCCTCCCCGGGCCTCGGGCACGGCCGGGCAGGGGGGCCGTGCTGCTGAGGAAAGGCTTCTCGGTGATGACCGCGGCTCCGGTTCCCCTGTCCCCGGGCGAACCAGGCGCTGCTCACGCCCCGGCTTCGTGCCGCAGCGCAGCTTTGAGCGCCCGCATCCCGGCCAAGCCAAAGGCGCAGCCTGGCACGGGCAGCGCTGTGCCACGGCCGAGGGGAAGGGACGAGCGAGGTGGGACCGCGCGGGCTTCAGGTTTCTGTGCGCACCACGGTCATTTGTCGCTTTCACATGAGGTTAAGACTTTCCTGTCACGAGGAAGAAGTTTGATGCTGTCTTGCCTCCCCTGCTTCGGAGAAAGCAGAGCCGCACAAGAAAAGAGCTCGTTGAAATGGAGGAGGTGATGCCCATTTACACCGGCTCAGCATCCAGCCCCATGCGTGTACTCTGACCAGAGGAGTAGCAGTTTTTCCTCTTCACACATTTTTGTGGTTTCAGAACATCTGTCAGAAAAGGGCATGTTCAACCTCACTCTTCTTGAAAGAAAAATCAATCCGAATTTCTCAGCTCCCATTTACTTTTCTTTGTAACGAAGAGCTGAGAAAAGTGATGGCACTACACAAAAGAACCCCCGAAATTTACTGGTTTTGAAAGAACACAGGTTAAAAATAATCCACTGATGCAGCTTCAATTTCCTCACCAGCATACCTAAATCAAGCCCTGATTTTGAAACCAGGTGTACATGTGAGTAGTTCCCAATGTCTGTTGTACACACCTACTAGTCTTTGCCAGGCCTTAGCACCTATTTTAGAAATTTTAATCTCTAAGGGCTCTTATTTCCTGCATGTTTCTTTTCCTTTATATGCTCCACTATGTATAAAGAGCCTGAGGTCTGCTCTTTTTGGTGCTATGCAATAGCACAGGCTTTTGTAGTCACACCTCCAGCATGGGTGGTGTTCTCTCCTTGTGCAGAGGAACACAGTTCATGCTCCTTTTCATATCAAATGAAGCTCAAGGCTGGTGTGAAGTCAGCTGGACCACCACAGATTTACCTGTTTTCTCTGCCCTCCTCTGGGATAAATAAGTTAGTGACAAGTTGGGACAAACTCTTCAGACTGAGATTTTTTAAAAGAGAAGTTTGATGACAAAACATCTTTATGAATCTCAGCCTCTGCATGCCGAAGAGAAAAGGGGAGGGGAGGGGAAGGG